TTGAGCTACCTAAGCCTGTTGAAATTGATTTTAAAAATGAGATAAGTTCTGTTTGTGACCCAGTCAATTGCATAGCTAAGAACTCCCCTGAAGGTTCAACATCAACTTTAAACAGTCATTTTTTTTTTTAAAACAAGAAAAAAAAAAAGAATTCTTCTGAACTTTTATTTGAAAGTCTTGATGCAAACGTGAAAAGTTTTTTTAAAGCACAAAGTGAATCAGATAAAGAGTTTTTTTCAATATTTCTTGATAGTGAACCTAAAAATAATTCCTCTGATAAAAAAAATAAGAGTTCAGCATTGTTAAAAATAAGAGAAAAAGGAGTTTTTTATTGAAGCAGAATTGTTGGAAATGACTATGCAACAGTTAACTAAATTGATTCTGGATGAATTTAACTTTATTTTTAGTCAAAATATAGCTATAACAAAACTTCCTAATGTACGTGTTAGGAATGATAAAGATGTTAAAAGGTTGCTTGATCGAGACGAGTTAGAATTTCAGAGAATATAAAGAGACATTTAATTATATTTTAGTTTTCATTTGTTACCATCACTAGTAGAAGTATATACATATATATATATATATATATATATATATATATATATATATATATATATATATATATATATATATATATATATATATATATATATATAGATGTATATATAACTATATTTGTTTATATATATATATATATCTTATATGTCAAAAAAGTCGGTTGCGGATTTTACTGCCCCCTCCCCACGAAAGGACAGGGGGGGATGAAGATGAAATACAAAAAAAAGCACCTACCCCATTTGTTTGATAAATAAGTTATTTGCAAAGCCTTCAAAAAAGCGGCTCAAATGGGGTTGCATATTTAATATATATATATATATATATATATATATATATATATATATATATATATATATATATATATATATATATATATATATATATATATATGTATGTATATATATATATATATATATATATATATATATATATATATGTATATATATATATATATATATATATATATATATATATATATATATATATATATATATATATATATATATATATATATATATATATATATAGATAGATAGATAGATATAGATAGATATAGATATATAGTATTAAAACTAGCAAGGATCCATTAAATCTACAAAAATAAAATATTGTCTGTGGTATTAAAATACTTTGTGGGCATCATTATTGTGTATAAATGTAACATTTATAAATAATACACCTGTATGGAGTATAACAAATCATTAATTAAATAGGCAAGGTTTGCATAGTTAGGTGACTTGCAAATAGAATAAAAACTATGTAAAAGTAAACAACTACAATAACATTAATACCATAATTATAAAAAAACTATAATGTAATTGATTAGTATGACTATCATACTATGAGAAATGCAATAACACAAAAGCAATAATATGATAACTAACCATAAAAACCCATTTTGTTATTTTATTTCATTGATAGATATGCTATATAATGTTAAACAATTGTAATATTAATGTTCGTAAACAAAGTTATGCTTACATTTAATGTGTTGCATGTGTTTATTTTCTCTAAACTGTTGAATAATGATCAATAAAGTAAACTTCAAATAATGAAAGCTTACTAAATTAAAACCATATTTCAACTCAAATAACCACACAAGGTAGAATCTCAAGGTAGAGCTGAAAAAAAGGAGAAAAAGTATATAATAGACAATGAATATAATGCTCCTAATTAAAATACCAAAGATACAGTACATAACGGTACCAGTTTCGATTAACAATTGACAGGTAAAACTAAAGATAAATATAGAAAAAAAGAATACAATAAAAATTAGACATGTTTAAATTTATAAAGATAATAAAACTTCATGAAAAAAATAAAATAACAACTAAAATAAAATAAATAATCCTTTTAAATAAATAAAACTGTAAAAAATAAAATAACTATGTTTTTTACAATTATACAAACTTTCTATTTGAAGAAGATCTTAAAGATACTGAATAAAGATTAGTATATACAGTGTATATACAAACCTTTATTCAGTATCTAATTTACAACGTAAAAAACACATAAATTCTTCCCTAACATCATAGGAATTGTCTATTAATCTAATTATTAAAGACAATTATTCCTGATTGGAGCAGTCAGAAGCTTCATCAGCAATAACTGAAAAAATTCGATTTTCTTTTATTTCAGAAACCAAAATATTCTGGATGTCCTTTCCCCAACAACTTATTAATTCATTCTGTGAGGAATTAGAAATATAAGATGCATTCTTTGCACAGCTGTTAAGATAAAGTTCAAGAATTTTATCCCCACCTCTGATTCTGTAGTTTAAAAGTTCAATAAAATTACCTACTCCACCCACTAAAGAATATTTGCCAATGACCATCACAATGACCTCTGAAAGCTATATTAAGTTGACCTAAGAAAATGATTTTCTCACAAAACAACTTTTTACAATTTAAAGCTATCTCCTTTTCACAATCTTTATTAAAATATCTATATTTTAAATATTTCTATTCATAGTATTTAAAACTGTGGAAAATATGGTCCAGGCATTATAATGTAGAATTTGTACTGCGTGATGATGTTTATAAATATTTCAGCTGAGTGATATTCATAATTATTCCCGTTTTTCCCATGGTAATGTCTATTAAAAGTGCTCACAGCATCTGGCCTATATTTGAATGACTGAGAACAAATTTTTAAATCTAGAAGTTTTTGAAAGGTATTTATATCTAAACAAAAGGCAACACAAACAAAATGCTCCATCTTCAGAAGGTAAATATCTAAGCCATGAAAATTGTTTTAATGATAAAAGTTTTTAAAGATTGCCCATTTGTTTTTAAAAAAGAAGTTTCATCAGGAACAAAAACATTTTGAATCAAATTTTATATTTGTAAATCTTTCAAAGTAGAAGCCTTCGAACGAAACAACAAATTAACAATATCTGATGATAAACATAGAATAAGGTTCAATATTAAGATTAAACATAATTTTATATTTTAGGAAAAAACTGTTCTATAGTAACACTTAAGTCTTGTAGAACACACAGTTAAAAGAGCAAGAACACAAAGAAACACAAACCATAAAAATTCTTTACACATATGAAATGTTTCTTCCTTAACAAGGTCATTTTTTAATTTTCCTGAGTCTATAAAATGTGTGGATACAGACACTGCTAACAAATTATCAATTGATAAAAACTCATTTGGATACATTGAGCACAAGCTTACAAACAATGGATGATTACTGTAAAAAGAGGCATTTAAATATAAATCAATTGCTGTCAGTATTTTGAAACCCATTGCCAGACTATTATCACCACACAGATAAATCCAAAATGAGCTAAATAAGCAATTGTCAGTTGATTCAGCTGAATCAGATCTGATCAGATCTGTAACAGAGCTGTAACTGATCAGAGCTGTAACTGATCACTGTAACTGATCACTGTAACTGATCACTGTAACTGATCACTGCAACTGATCACTGTAACTGATCAGAGCTTAAACAGATCTGATCAGATCTGTAAAAAGGGCAATTAAAAATTTTTAAAGTAAAAAAAAATCTACAATAAGCTCAATGGAAAATAAACTTGGATTTAATCATTTATTTACAATAAATCAGTTTGGTAAAAAGTTGAACCAATTAGATCAAGGCAAAAAATGTATTTTATAATATTATTACTATATAAATTTACATCCCCAAATGAACGAACGCAGGGATAATATGTTTACAAATTTTAAATGTAATTTTTTATTTTACTTGTTGGGATAAATAAAGTAAATCTTACTTCACCGCCTAGTTGTTCTTGACTCCTGAGGAATGTCGTGCTCTACTCTTTATTGACTTATGAACAGTCAACAACTGATAAAAATCTGACTTATGAAGGAGATTAATCTTTACTGACAATTCTGAATAAAGAGTTTGTAAACTTTCAATAAATCCATTTTCAAGCAAATACCTTACAGATTGTAAATGCATGCCAAATCAAAAATTATTTAAAATTTGTTTAAAACATTCAAAGAATTATTGTTAGAAAAGGCTTCTTTTAAATTAGTCAGGGGGCAATCATCATATATTTAAATTCGACTAACTTGGCCTGAAGTTACGCTACCGAACGACAAAAATAAAACAATTTAAAGTGCTTTAAAAAGTTTTTAAAATCTCGTCAGCCGAATAAAAGGGCCAGATAAGTCGCAACTAACTTGGCCTTAAGTTACGTTACCGAACAGTAAAAATAAAAAAAATTTAAACTACTTTAATAATTTTTTGAAATCTCGTCAGCCGAATAAACGGGCCAGATAAGTCGCAAGATTTCTTGACTAACTTGGTCCGAAGTTACGCTACCGAAAAAAAAAATTACAAGACGGGGCTATTGCGTGCGCATATACTTATCATAGTTTAATTGGTATTGCTGTTTAGACCAAAAAAATAGAGATTTTATTTAATTTCAAAAATCTCAAAAATATATAACCTATTTCATTAGCCTGATCGTTGTTTAGTTTAGTAAAAAAGATGTTAGTCAATGCGCCTAACAAGACTAACCCTAAACCCGCCCCTGTTTATATATAACAAGTAGAAACTCTTGAAAAAGTTATTTTTTTATATGTTTGTTTTTTACTTGAAATGATAAACTATCTTTATTCCACATAGCCTGTTTATTAAAGGCTAGACAGTTTTTTTTTTTTTGGTGTTACTTTTGCCAATTTTTTTAAAATATTTTTGCGAGAAGCAATGTATGTATGTTGAAAGGTATATTTTGGCATCTTTTACAAATAAGTTGTACACATTTCAAATACATTGCTGTCTATTGACATTACTGTCTAGCTTCTCTAAGGCTATCAAAGGTTTATGTTTTTAAAATTAAGTTTGTATTTGTTTTTATTATGATATTTTAACATAGTGAGTAAGGTTTTAAATTTAGTTAGATTCCTATTACATTGTAATACCTTTTTTGAATAAAGAGATTCTTATTTTATGAAAAATTGTGCATTTCAATTACTATCAAAAAGGTTTATACAACTTGAAATATGTTGTTTTATTGCTGACCGAATTTCTTCTGCTTCAATTCGAACATAATCATTTCTCCCAATGCTTATTTTAACCATGTTAACATCGGTACTGTACAACCAATCTTCGGAGAAACTTTGATTGCTGATTTCACAAAAATTATGAAGAATACAGCATGCACTTACTATTTTAACAGTATTTTCAACAGATGTGTCAATGCGTTTTGAAATGCATTGGAATCTTCCTTTAAGCCTACCAAAAGCATTCTCCACTACTACACGAGATCTACTCAGTGAAAAGTTGAAACTTTTTTCTTCCCTTGAAAGATTCCCGCGATCTGAATAAGGTTTCATTAGCCATTCTTCCAAAGAGTATGCAGAATCCCCTAAAATTAAAGGAGATATTTCTTTTCCTACAATGCTTCTTGAGAAATTACTTGTTAGGAAATCTTTGCAATTAATGTAATCCTCTGGATTCTTTTTCGGTGCTTTTATTCTTATATGACATCCATCAACTGCACCCACAACAAGAGGAAAACTTGACATATCTTCAAACTGTTTCATAATTTCTTTTACCTCTGCTTCTTGATGATATATATATTTTTTTAGCAAGTTATCAACAATTGCATTTGTTACCAAGTGAATTAATTGACATACTGTTGAACGACCCAGACCAAAAAGGTTGCTTATTGTTTGAATGTCAAAAGATCCAGAGAAAAAATACAAAGTTACTGCAACTTTCTGTTCAACTGAAACAGTCTTTCTAAAATTAGTGTCTTTTGTTTTTATAAATATTGCTAATTCTGAACATAAGTATATAAAAGCTTCTTTTGACATTCTTATATTTGCAACCCAGTCAGATTCTGTCCAATGCTTATTCATATTATCAAAATAAAAGTTTTGAGATCTTGATTTTTTCCAATCTAACCGAGGTCTTGTGATATAGCTAAAGATAATTTGATTTAATAATTGCAAATGAAAATTACTTCGCTGGCGTCGTCTTCTATAATACTTGAGCAAATTAACTTTAGATGAGAAAGTTTTCAATAATTCTTTATTTCGTAAATTTTTCATTTTGTTAATGTTTTTAAAAATTACTTAAAAATTGACGTGACTGAAAGTATCATCAAAAATACTTTTATTTGAGTTACGAAATTTAAGTTATATTCGGTTGCGTAAAAATAAATCAGATTTATTCTAGTGTGACACGAAATATTTTAAAAATAAGTTTAAACTAAACAACGTTTTAAAAGCGAGTGTTGTTAAAACTTGGTTTTGTTAGTGTGAATGGGGTATATAACAATAAAAAATATCAGTCACGTGATCAAAGTAAGTGCAACTTTTAATTTAAAATGGCTGAAAGTGATATATATATTTTTGTAGTGAAGATTTAGATTTTATGTTTTTGGACATAGATCAGGATCTTTTGGATAATGAAAGTAGAAGTAGATCTAAATGAAGCATTAGACGAGGCAAGTAAAACTTCATATTTTATATTTATACATTGTACATATTTTAGTGTAATTATGGTTTATTCAGACTGGACTGATCCAGTCAGCAGCTTGTACATGTGTGTAAATAAATCAGTATATTTATTTATATTTTTACCACGCTAATTTTTTTGTAGTTATAATTTATTTTTATTTTTTAAAATTTACATGTAATGGTTATTCTTAGGTGACTACATCTAGGTACGCGATATCGCGATTTACGGAACCAATTTTTATGCTAAAATTTTGGTTCTCGTTTTTTTAACTCTTTTTTTAGGCAGCGTGAGGCAGACGTAGTTTTGTGGAGTTTCTTTTTAGAAACAGATATACACATAGATACTTTTTGGAAAGAAGAAAAGCTAATCTTGCTTTATTTAATAAATTTATGTATTGTTATTACACTTTTTTGTTGATTATTTTGCTTCTGAATATTTGGTTGATATTCTCACATGAATTTGTCGTAGAAGAAATGTTGATCCGGTTGTTTTTTTTATTCAGAAAATTTTCTACATGCATTTTCTATGCACATGCCAAATTTCAACGAAAAATAATTGGTAGCAGATAGTTTAAAATGTGTTATATTACGTATACCACTTATTTTAGGTAGCTTTAGGCAAACGTTTTTTTGTGTGTTTCTTTTAAGAAACATGCATAAACATAAATTATTTTCATAAAAGAGAAAGGTTGATCTAGATTTTTATATGACTTTTATGTATGGTTACCCAACATTTTTATGGATTATTTTGCTGACAATATTGCATGAAAATTTCGTCCTTGTTCTCACATTAATTTGTTGTCAAAGGAATGTTGATCTGGCTTTTTTTGTTAGTTTTCCTATATTTTACATGCATTTTCTTAGCACCTGCCAAAAATCAACGAAAAATAATTGGTAGCTGATAGTATACTTAGTGTTGGACTTTTGGTACATAATTTGGTTTCTAGAAGTTGAGAAATCTTATACTCTAAGCATTTTCTAAAAGCCAAGACGTAATATCGTTAATTTTCATACCATTTTTCTAAAAGCTATATAAATATTGTTACAATTTTATAATTCAAATTAGTAATTTCGAAATTTTTTCACTGTACTGATTTATATGTAATATTATATATTAATAAATCAATGAAGTTATGATTTTTTCGTGATGTTATTTCTACGCATTTGTCCGATAAAAACAAGTTTTCCTAATGAAAAAAGCATCTAGAAATTTTTATTTACAGAAATTTTATGAAATAAAATAATTTTCTTATGCAAACATAATCCGTACAAAAATTTAGACAAATTTTAAAAAATAAAAAATAAAAAAGAGAAAATCACTAGCTACAAGTAAATTAGATGGAAAAAATGGGATGCTGTATTTCAGATTTTTTTTTATATATTATTTACCTAACCACTTATTTTTATAATTTAATTTTCATTAAGAAAATAATAATATGGATCTGAAAACAATGACATAAAATGTGTGTGTTTATTTTTTAGGGTGGTTATAAAAGCAACATTGAATAGTGATTTTGTAATCACCCTAATATATGTGAACAATTATATAAACAAATTTCACGGTTGTTCAGATAGTAAAACTAGATTTTAAGAAAATCTTGTACAAAAAAATTTTTAACAGGTGCCTAAAAACTCATCATTATTTAACAGGTCACTAATATTTTTGAAAATAATATTAGTGATCATACAAAAATTCTATGAGCACAAAGTTTGTTATTTATGAACACAAAGCTGTTAAATATTACTTTATTCCGACTCACGAGCAATTGTTAGAGGTTTACTTATGGAATAAAGTAGCGATGTTGCAACACAACCTATTAGAAAAAATTAGTTCATTTTCAAAACTAGTATAAAAAATGAAAACGATGTTTTATTAGCTTACAACATACATTCATTGTGAGGGTGAGGCGCGGAAGAAGATATAGAGTTGTATTATAATTACTCAATGGATAAAAGTAATATCATAAAATCCAATTAATACATAATTTTTGAATGTTGTACAATATATAGATATATAAAGTTATATATATATATATATATATATATATATATATATATATATATATATATATATATATATATATATATATATATATATATATATATATATATATATATATATATATATATATATATATATATAACAAAAATTATATACAAAAATACAATACAGTGTTAGCTTAGATGACATGACGTTAAAGTTGCAAATAACAAATTTGTTTTCGTGGCGACATTTTGATATTAGTTCATTTCGTTTATTCAGCTGAATAAACGAAATGAACTAATATCAAAATGTCGCCACGAAAACAAATTTAACGACAAAATACTACAAATGAAACTACTGATCAGTAGTTTCAAAGATGACGTAATGATATGGTATTTTTCGGTTAAGCAAAGGTTACATAGCTTTCCTCCAGGTTTAAATGGTTCCGCCCTATCAATAACTTTCCACGTAAGAATAGGATTTGAAAATCCCTTTTTTTTCATTTCCCGTAAAAACATCACCGCGGGATAGTGGTCTTAATTATATTGGTCTAACGGAACACACCTTTAAAGATCGCTGGTACAAACATAAAAATTCCTTTCAATACGAAAGTAAAGCTAACACCACAGAACTTTCGAAATATATCTAATAAAGTGGGAAATGAAAAAAAAGGGATTTTCAAATCCTATTCTTACGTGGAAAGTTATTGATAGGGCGGAACCATTTAAACCTGGAGGAAAGTTATGTAACCGAAAAATACCATATCATTACGTCATCTTTGAAACTACTGAATAAACGAAATAAACTAATATCAAAATGTCGCCACGAAAACAAATTTGTTATTTGCAACTTTAACGTCATCTAAGCTAACACTGGATTGTATTTTTGCATATAATTTTTGTTGTTGTTACGGTTGTTTGTAACGTCTGATGATCGCATAAAGCGTGAAACTCCGAGTTATGTTTCAAATCTAATTGTATTTATTTTATTATTAATTTAATACATATTTGCTCTACTTTTGTATTGAGCACTGTCTACCGAGAAATTACTTTTATTATATATATATATATATATATATATATATATATATATATATATATATATATATATATATATATATATATATATATATATATATATATATAATATATATATATATATATATATATATATATAATATATATATATATATATATATATATATATATATATATAATATATATATATATATATATACATATATATATATATATATATATATATATATATATATATATATATATATATATATATATATATATATATATATATATATATATATATATATATATATATCGCGACGTTAGAATTATCTTGTGCTATCTCCAATTTTTGAAAAAATTGAGATTTTATTATTTTCGAATATTTTAGCATTGTGTTGTTCTACTTTAATTATATTGAAAAAAAATGAAACTTTTAACACGGTATTGCATGCAATATTGCATTGTTCTATCTCCTTAATGAGCAAACTTGAAAATATTATCTTGTTCTATCTCCAATCAACCAATCATATTACAATTACAAAGTTGTTCATCAGTTTTGTTGTTTTCAAAATGGCAACTGCAAATATTGACCAAGAAATGGAACCTGTCCTAAATCAAAACGAAGGTAGTTTTTCAACTTAATTTGTATTATAATTTTGGAAAAATAGAATTCGACTTTCGCTTGTGCCATTTTAGATTAAATTTAAAAGTTATTATTTATACATCCTGGATAATAAAAAATTAATATTTTAATCGTTAGAGCTGCTTGGCATTACACCTTCTCGTCGGTCGCCCCATGGTGGGGTTTCTAGGAAACGTAAAGCTGATAGGAGTAGTTGGAAACAAAGTGTAAGAAAAATCCATCGTCAGTCGGGTAAAGCTTATAAAAATACAAAAGGAGAACAAATGCCAAAAAGATCTATTGTTGCACTAAAAAGTTGCAGAAATTGTAAATTTAAATGTTCTACCGATATATCTGAGATTGAGCGTCAAATAATATTTGATAACTTTTGGACCTTAGATGATGACGGAAAAAAACATTTCTATTCTAAAACTACTGAAAATCTGGAGAA